CATGTTCCTTCCCTTCCCTGCATTTTAAATTAATAAAGATGGTTTCATTCTCTAGATGTGGGCTTTTATATTGAAACTTAAAGATTATGAAAAAATGAAACCTGGATGACTGGTGGAATAAAATTGTGGAAGGGAGTGAATATTCATTTTGTCTTTAGAAACATAGTGACCTTGTCTATCACATATTATTGTCTGATATGGCTAGTGCACCACCCCCTGCCTCTTTCACTTCAGGCCCCACTTGTTCAGCACCCGCCCATGTCACCTGGCGGACATACGGCATGAGTGGTGCAGTGCTCTCCCATGCTTACAATACTTGTCACCCATGAATATAACTTCAAGGTGTTTCTCCTGAAGGTCAATCAGATGCGTCAACATGCCTGTCTGTTCCTTCAGAATTTGTAGCATCTCTGCTGTATGCCATGCTCTTTTGCTGGCTTGCTCTCCTGCTCCCAATGTCCATGCTCCATGCTCTTTGCTCAGTATCTGCTGTTTCAGTGGTGTTCATAAATTACTTAAGCCTGTCATCACACATGCTCTTTCTCCATTGTCTTATTTGTTAGAGCTCCTCCACTGGTGTGGAGAAAGAGCTGAAGGGGACACTTTCAGCTGTAAGCCATGGAAAGCACAAAGCAGCAATTATCGGTTCAGACTTATGGTCTAGTGTAGAGTTGCTGTATAAAAATAACTCCCCTTATTTCGTAGAAGTTTAAAGCAGAACATTTTGATTTACACAAGGTATTCATTAAACCAGTTTTCTGTCCCCGCCATGGTGAGTATGGCCCTGCTTTCATGGGTGCCGGGCCATCAACTGTACTGACGAGTGCGCGAAAGTGTTTGCAGTGGTGAATGGGCACTACAAAATTTCTCTTCCCTCCTTCCTCCCACCTCCCTCTGGTGCTATTGTTGCTAGCAGTTGCCAGAGGATTGCAGATCCTAAGGTTAATACTAACCCCTGCCACCCAAACTACAGGCATGTTTTGGAAACCATAGGTTAAGGGGCAAAAAATCATGAAAGCGGCGAGCACAGTCACTATTGTTTGTACATGCAGTCTGATAGTTGAATAGAAAACTACTGCTGCCTCCCCTATGTGACCCTATGCAGGCCTAATCCGGCCCGCTAAGCCACCAGAACTGGCCCACAGATGCAGCAGAGTGGGGACCGACCAGGTGACTCCCCATGCAATAAGGGAATCTTTAAAAACAATAGGAAAGTAGGAGTCTTTTGCCTTTGACTGGCACTCCCGAGGAAAGGAACCAGAGACCCCAGAGTGAGGGACAGCCCTGGTTTGAAAGGCTTTGCTAGAAAAGAGACAGTTTTAGGGTGAGTTTGTAATGAGCTTGTGTACTGAGGTTTCAGTGTTAGTTAGCTCGGCATTTTCTTTTATTTTGAGTTTGTAATCTACTTTGCTCTGCCTGTTCTCACTTATAACCACTTAAATCTTACTGCTTGTACCTAATAAAATCACTTTTACTTACTGTCAAGCCCAGTGTAAATACAGGCAGTCCCTGGGTTACGTACAAGATAGGGACTGTAGGTTTGTTCTTAAGTTGAATCTGTATGTAAGTCGGAACTGGCGTCCAGATTCAGCCGCTGCTGAAACTGACCAGCGGCTGACTACAGGAAGCCCGAGGCAGAGTTGCTCTGCCCCGGGCTTCCTGGAATCAGCCGCTGATCAGTTTC